GACTTAAGGCAAAGCGGTCAACATGATATATAGCTGCGGCCTTTCTAAGACTTAATTTTGGGTCATTCTGGAGGGCCTGAAGGGCAAGAATAATCTTAGCTTCATTTGGAGACTCTGGCATATTGGATTGTTGAGAAATATCTGATTGAAAAGTGATAGTGTAGGTTGAGGGATTTTTGGAGCACTCGCTTGTCTGGAGCACTCGCTTATCATGCACGTTATTCTACGGTATGGAGCTTAGGTAATTGGTGTTGAGGTCGGGCGTGGAGTGCTGTGAGGGAGGGGCTGACAGGATCAAGTTCAGGATCAGGATCAGGATCGGCGCTATCGGCAGGATTGTCCCATGTGGTGCACTACGGCACCGTAAGCGGCAGTCAGCATCACAGTACAGTAATAGAGGGACTTTGGGAGGATTAGGTTCATTGAGATGACGGAAAAGATGGTAAGCGATAACAAATCGAGATGATCTGAGACTTTTAGTGAAGGTCCGGAGACAAGCGTGGGGGAATATGCCTCAACTGCCGCAGCGAAGTGATCAAAGAGGTTCATGAAGTTATGTGTTCGGAAGATAACCCTTTTGGGATATACATCTTGTGGGGGAAATAACACGGTTTTGTATTGTCAATCATGTAGAGCATTGACGATGAAAGTGTGCGAGCCTGCTGCTTAACAAATATCTCATTGTCAACGGAGCCTCGGTCACGGTGATCGGACCCTCGGCAGACACAAATACCCCAACGGCAAGACGTCAAGCATAGTAAATCTCCTCAGAGTGGAATAGCATCGCCCTTATTCTCCGTAAAATAGGTCCTGATTCGTCATATCTTGCATCGTGGCCATTGATCATCTCGCTCAACCTCGTGGCTAAGCCCCTCAGGCTAGCATGCAATCACGGCGTGCACGTATTATCCTCACTCTATCACGCCATCAAATACTTTTCCTCGCAAGTATTTAAATGCTGGGCGTGCTCGCATTGAGAAATAAAGATCTTATCGTGGCGCTTTTAATCTTCCAGGGCATCTAACTTTTCTTTCGGTCGCATCGTCATGCAAGTAATTAATTTGACTTCACTTATGCGAAGGATTTTAATTAACGAAAGTCAATCTTGCGCATTATCGAGACTACGAAAGTATACTATTTCCGGGAAAATACAGGTTAAGGAAATGGAACTGCAAAGTCAATCGGGCAAGACAGTTGCTTCAACGACAGCCATCTGGCAGTGAAAGTTGTGGTGATGGTAGGTACTCTTGAGTGATTGCGAATGCTCTGGGATGAAGTTCAAGAGACATCGACCGGATACGAGAAACAACTACTACATTTGGCACTACGGAATATATGCCGAAGGGAAAACAACTGATATTACTGACTACTCAATGATTCGGGTGTATTAGCGGACGTGCTGTTCACACTGCAGATACAGAAGAGATATTAATACCTTCAACAGGCAGGGAACACCGAATAAGGACAAGATACTGCGCTGCAAGATACGTCCACTTCTAACAGCATCGCATGTGTTTTGCACTGCGGAGAACTCCAAACGGCCTTGAATCGTGCAGATACAGAAAGTTCAGCGCCACGAGAGTGTCTACATATCACTCTGCGGGGTCTGTCACAACTCATTCTTCGCTGCAGTGTTCAGTGGCCGACCGAGTCACATCTTGTGCGGAGTCATGAATCGCTACTTGCATCGCCAAGATCAAGCATAGCCTCAGATAAACCGTCAATATATTGAAAAAGAAATAATCGTTCTAGCCTCAAACAAACTGTATGTCCGCTATTGCGTCAACGACCTCAACGCTCTGTTCGGTCGCACCCTCCCATTAGAATGTCGTCGGATTCTATTACAGCTCTGGTTCTGAATATGGTGATTCCTCGCCGTAGTGCGACTAAAGATAGCGCCGCACATATTACACGGGTAGGAGGGCCGCTGGCTGGACTTCTCCTTCTGGTGCCGCTTCAGGTTGCTCAGCGTCGTAAACAACTGCCCGTTACACCCGTGGTCCCAACACCTGAGATCCTGTGCGTCACGCTGCTGCTGCTGCTGCTGTGTTCCTGCAGTAGTGTTGGTGGTGTTGGCTCGCTTGGATCGGGGGCTGCTACTGCGTTGATCGTCGTCGGCGCGCATGTTGGCTGATTGGGCCATCTCTGTCAATGGGGAGATGGGGTAGGAATTGTCACTGCCACTATAAGATAAGATCCTGATGGTTAGAGAGTGTTTTTCGAACGCGCATCTTGGCTTACTTGGCATCGTGATCGAACGAGAAGAAATCGTCAAATGTGTCGTCGCATAATAGAGGCAGTCGGTTTGAGAATACATCATCTGTTAGATCTGATGCGAAATTAAAATCATCGGTTGCGAAATCAATGGCTAAAAATAATACAATAAATCAGTTGGTCTGCTTTGGAGGTGAAGCTATATGCGACCGCGGGGTTATAGACGGATTTGATCTGGTACGCACCACTAATATCCGGGTGACGATTAGGTTCAGCACTGTCATTGGGGTGATCAAAGTCCACTGCGGGAAGAAGGGACTGGACACCCGCCATCCAGTCAGCAACGATTGGCCTGTCTCTGCCGTTCTTTGCTGGAGGAAACATTGTTTGTTTGGCTGTTGGTGGCTGAGCAATGTACTGCACGATGTCTGTATGTATGTATGTATGTATATGTCTGGATGAAATATCACGAAAGGAATAGCACATTAATCTTTGGTCTAGTGCTTTGGGCCTTCGCGCGAACTCTGTTTATAACGTACTCGTCGTATGATGTGTAACAGCGTGTACAAGAATTGGGGGCACTTGATTGATTAGCTGCCTACGTCAAGCATCTACATACTCGGCCGTCGCATTGTTTCTCGAAAGGGCCTGATCGCCAAGCCGGGTTCCATCCGGTAGGTGTCAGATTCATTGATTATTCTGCAGAATACGTACATGCAGAATGTCTCTCCTGTCAAAAACGCAGCATACAACCCCTTCGGCACGTAGTGAGCGTTGTATCGATCAAGCTAGAGTTTGAACAAGCGAAACCTTGGCCCCCATCAAAAAAAGATACATACATCGTCTCTCTAGGACTCTCTCATCATGCATGGGATGAGATGGAGGTGTCCTATTAGCTCGACCCCGGGCCTCAATGGGATTTTGCAGGGGAAGCATATGCGTCTCTGTCCTCCCATCCTGCACAACAAAGTTCAGCGGTTAATAAGTGAGATACAACCTGCCTCTTAGAGGCAAACCAAACAAACATGGTTCCCCCTTGTCTTCCCCGACCTGGGTTAAAGTTGCGCGTCATCTGGTCTCTTCCCGGCAATTCGTGCCAAACCAACCAAACAGACAAACCTGTGGAGCTCAAACAGTGGGAACGAGTCAGACCGGCGGAGCAGAGCCGGGGATTATATGGCCAATAAGGTTACGCGGCTCTTATTATTAGTGAGCATTTTCTTGGCAGAGAGAAGCGCCTCTGTTCCAAAATAGTGAGCATGTATGACAGTATGTTGAGGTGACTTTTTGTTTTTTTCGGTCAGCAAACAAGAAAAAAGACTGGAACATGCATACACGCACTGCTTAATAAGGCTTACTGCCTCCCTCTTTGGAGATAGGCTCTTCGCAGGAGCTGAGCCCCAGTCCGTCCCGTCCCCAGGGCTTGACTCCTACCGGCGCTGCGGTCATCATGCCCCCCATACCAACCAGAATGCACGCACGCACGCTGATGGATGTCACACCTGGTGAAACAACGGAGTGGTATCCGGATATCGCGTGGCACCTTGATTGGCTTTCTGCTCACCGCACGCAACCCCCCCAGCCTAGGCCAGCATGTCTCAACACAAAGGGCTACTGCACTTACATGCTGTACAAGCACTACTTGCCCACCCCACGATTATCCCACTGCGGCGAGTCCCGAGTCTATACTGCAAGGGGACTAATGACTCGGCACTGTTGCATCAGAAATTCGGCCGATAGGTTCATCGCGAGTTGATTCACTTTTAGTGCGGAAAGGGAAGACTATCAGAAGACGGCACGGACCGGCACGATAGGACATGATCGCTCAGAGATGGATGGATGCACGGCATTCACAGCAATTAAGAAAAATCCCGTAATCCTTCAATCCTCAATCCTGTATTCCAGCAATCCAGGAATCCCACGTAGTTAGCAGTTGGAACAGCTACTGTTTGTCCGATTTGAGGATAATTCCACACCAAATCATGTCTGCGTGATGAATCCAAGAAGATAGATGAAAGACTTGACAGCTACAAAAATGTGTTCTTGATCAACCACTATTATAATTCCAATTTATCGGACCATCGGCATCACTGACCGCCACATCCAACTAAAACATACTAAGCCAAGCCATGATTCGCGACCTCCAAGGCGCAGTCTCCCTACCTTCGTGGGACATGCCCATGTCGCATATGAAAACCCATTGGCTACCCTACGCAATCAGAATCTCAAGATCTATCACACCACCGCCTTTACTAATCATCCTTCTGCTAGCTGCATTATCTCCCGTCAGTACCAAAATCAAGCCACTGCAACGGCGGCTAACCTGCAATAGGTAATCGGCTATGTCGTCTACTACGCCTTCTTCCACCCGCTGGCCAAGTACCCCGGCCCTTTCTGGGGAAAGTTTACAGGGCTCCGTGCAGCTTACCATGCCTGGATTGGGGATGTACATATCGACATGTGGAAATGTCATGAGAAATATGGTTCGTGTACCCAGCGTTCCATTCGCCTCTCTGCAGCATGCTTACGTTTCGCACCAGGGCCATATGTTCGCTACTCGCCAAATTACCTGCTGATGAACACGACTCAGGCATACAAAGGTTGTTCCCCTCGCTTCCGCTCTCAGAGTTTATATAATCTGACTGATGCTATATTTAGATGTCTACGGCCATAACAAGAACGTGCGCAAGAGCCTTGCTTATCTGGCCATGGTCCACAAAACTCCCAGCACCTTCACCCTGATGGATCGGCACGAGCATGCATGGAAAAAGCGGATTTTGAGCCAGAAGCTATCGGACTCAGCCATCCGATCCTTCGAGCCCAAGATCACGGGCATGATTGATCGCTTCTGCGAATACGTCTGCCCCGCTAGCACGGGCAAAGAAAACACCGTGCCGAAACCGTTCAACATGTCAGAAATGTGTAAGCTCGCCTTTTCATTGGTCGCCCTTGTACTTACTATTGGTCCCCGCTGACAGCACATGTTGTGTTACACAGGTGATTATCTTTTCTTTGACCTCGTAACTTCCATTGTATTTGGTGAGAACTTCGACTTGATCCGGAGTCCGTGGTACCGTCATATCCCGCCTGCGCTCGCTCGTTCGAATGAGCGTATAAGCGTCATCGTCCAGTGGCCGTATGTTGTGTGGCGACGTATGGACAAGGTTCTCTTCCGTAACTCCGTGGCAGGACGGAAGGACTTTTTACGATTTGCTCACAACTTGGTCACCGAGAGAGTGCAGCGTGGGTCTGGGGATGATGTCTTGTCTGGCTTACTGGATGCTGCAGACCCAACTACAGGAAACAAACTGACCCAAGATGAAATTGTTGCAGAGAGTATTCTGATGCTTGTAGCTGGTGAGTACCCTTCCGTCAAGGTATACGCTCAACTAACATCATCAGGCTCTGACACTTCATCAACCCTTTTGGCATCTCTGTTCTTCTATCTTACTAGGAATCCCGACAAGAAGGATCGTCTGACCCGTGAAGTCCGCTCCAAATTTTCAAGTCGAGAAGACATCTGTCTCGGTCCAACCCTCAACTCCTGTCGCTTCCTCTACGCGTGTATCATGGAATGCTTACGCCTAACGCCCCCAGTTGCAGCAGCACCGTTCCGCGAGGTCCTGAAGGGCGGCATGATCGTTGACGGTCACTACGTTCCTGAAGGTACCAACGTTGGAACCGGTCTATTCAGTATCCAACACAACCAGGATTACTTTCATAATCCCTTTGAATTTATACCTGAAAGGTGGCTATCAGAGGGAAAGAATGCTGGACCTCATAACCCAGACGCTCATGTTCCATCCTCTATTGGTCCTCGCGTTTGTCTTGGAAGGGCACTTGCTCACGCCGAGCTTAGTCTCGCCATGGCTATCATCTGCTGGAAGATGGACTTCAACGTGGTTGAAAGCATGAAGGATATTGGAGCCGGCAACGAGAATGCCGAGTACGGTAGACACAGACCTGGAGAGTTCCAGTTGTATGACCATATTACATGTGCACGAAATGGGCCAATGGTTGAGTTTAGAGAGAGATCGTTCTGAAGCTATGGAGATAAATCAAACATGAATTTTCCGTATCAGCCGCAACCCCTGTATCACGATGATCTGAGGCCCTTGCTAGTTCAGTTGATAGTTCCGTCAGAACCCTAAAACCGTTGAGAATCTTAGTTAGGAATGCAAGTCATTGGATCAGAACTATAATCAAGGTTCCAGTCACTGCGGCTCCGCTATACGCACTAATGAGGACAGTTTGGAGAATCTCAATATGCACTATCAAATCTACCTACACCGACACCTCAACCTTGCCCAACCCAATGATTCCATATGATGTTATCAACGTATTTCATTGGACAAAAGCAGTCAGATATGACGAGCGGTAATGCTCACCCGGATCATCGGGCTCTCGGGCTTTAAACCAGCCACGTTGCAGGGGTTGCATCTAAGGACCACCCGCGCGGCCGCTGTAATCCCAGTAGTTATCGCCCTGGGCCCTGCATGTCCCGATGACGCAGTAGTAACCGCCGCCTCGGTTAGACTCGTTTGGTGAGTACATGACAAACGGATCGCCAGTCGAGTCCCAGCCTCCACCAACGGCACAAGAGTCTCTCTCCTTGTTCTGCACGGTATCTATTGGTCAATTAGTCGATGCGCTTCTTTTGTGGGGCTCTGCATGCGAAAACCCTTGTATTACAACTTACAGGCAGTATGAGCAGTGTTGTACCAGACGCAAACATCCTCGCCAGCGCTTCCGGTGCAGGTGTAGGTGTTTCCAGTGTTCCAGCTCTCGGAGACTGAGAAGCCGCCGCTAATCCAGCTCACAGGGGTGAGCGTAGCAGTCCATCCGATGGTGTACGAGATGGACTGGGAGTTGCCAACGCTGCATGACTGGGCAGTTCCACAGTTTACAACTTCCTGTAAGTTGAGCCTCATTAGTGATAGTTCAGAGTATGGGGTTCTAGTGGGACTGGTTTACCGAAAGCTGCTTATGGAAATAATTCTGGTGGGGATCGCCTGAGCCATCCAGGTCAGTAAACTAACTCACGGATTACCATATTAGGAAGTGAGAGCTTACCATCGCCAACTAGGGAAGTCCTTGTCAAGACAGAGCAAGCCGGGGGATCGTTGATAGGATTAGCCTCGCGCTTTGCAAAGCCCGATGCCGAAGCCTTGGAACTCAAGAACCGGAGAGCACCCTTAGCCTCATCCTTGTCATGGCAGTTGTCTTCGATCTTTGCCTTGTTGGGCTTCCATTCAAGTCCAGAACACTCGACAACGGTTGCTTCAGCGCTAAACTTCTTGGTGCAGATCGGGCCCCCCGAGTATTTTGCCTTAGAATGGACGAGGTACTTCTTAGCGCCGACAGTAAAGTTTCCAAAACCGTTC